TGTATATATGTATATATATATATATATATAATGTATGTATATATGTATATATAAATATATATATAATGTATGTATATATATGTATATATATATGTATATATATATATATATAATGTATGTATATATATGTATATGTATATATATATCTATACATATATGTATGTATGTGTGTGTGTGTGTGCATATAGATAGGTAGGTAGGTAGGTCGGTAGGTAGGTAGGTAGGTAGGTAGGTAGGTAGGTAGGTAGGTCGGTCGGTCGATCGATCGATCGATTATTAATCCCAGGGGGTCATTAGTTGTCATTAGTTCATCACATTACTGAGCTGCAGCACTAGCTTTCCTTTTTACATGTTGACCATTATGACTCTTTCACTTCCTTGCTTCGCAGTTCAAAAGTGCATCAGGGGTGGGTTAGCTTTGACACTCCCTTGCTGCCACAGTCCATTCAGAAATCAAACAGAGGTCCTGGCTTGAGTCGTCTTATGTTAGAGCCTTGAGAAACTTAGAAGGATTTTCTCTAAACACAACCTCTCAGTATATTTCAAACCTAACAGGACTCTCAGACTGGTTCATCCTAAAGATTAAACCCCCAAACACAAAGTGAGTGGTGTGGTGTCTGCAGAGGAATGTTCAGCCCTTTATTTTGGAGATACTCAACAACTTCTCCAGAAACACATGGTTCATAACAGGACAGACAGCTATACAAGACTCAGCTGTGCACCTACACCTCCTTTGTGGACCTAAATGTTCATATTTTGGATAGATAGGACAGATCATTTGAGAACCATCAAATGAAATAAAACAACTTTAAACAGAAGATGTTTCAGCTTTCTAAAACTTACAATGGAGCAGTAAACCCAATGCTCAGAAAATTTTTCTCTAATTCACATGTACATCTTGTGAGCCAATCAAACAAAGATCCCATTGACCCTCTAGAAAGAAGAATGAGATTAATCCATCTGAATTTAGCTGCATAATAGAGCATCTCATGCAGATTAAACCTTGAAACTCCACTCGTTTTAGTTTTGAATTAAGAAAGCTCCCCAGGTGAAAAGAATAATGTTTTCAACTGCAGAATAGTATTTTAAATGTGTTTCAATTTTTTATTTGCCTTTTTTTTACTTTCTGCATCTGCAATATCCTGGATGCTTAAAAATCTCCACCAGCAGCGGCGTATCATAATCTTGATGTTAGTAATAGACACTGAACCTCTGAGCTGTAGAAGGACTGTGTGTGGCCAAACATCCTGGGTGTGAAACACTTGAATGTTCAGGAGAAAATAGAATAAAAATAGGTTTCCAGCATCATGTTAGGTCTGTGCTGATGTAAGTGTTGATGAGCATGTTCTTTAGGTAACAGTCATGCGGAAATGATGTGCACGGATTTGTTTGTGGACCATAGGCTGTCAAGATGAATCAGCAGTGCCCCCTCCCAAGGCCCTGCTCCTCAGATCTTTCTGGGGTGTTTTTGCACCATTAGTCTCACATGGGCAGCAGCATCAGGCCCAGAAACAGAGAGGCAGGCAGCTCAACTACGGGCATGGTGAGCTCGCCCTGAAAAGGGCACATGCCTCCCTGCGCAATTATCCACTATGCATGGAAACAGCACACACACACACTCACAGTACTTTAACCAGCTTATCTGAAACTGGAGAAATTGGAAGATGGACAGTGTAAAACAGGAGCAATTATGTTTCTATGTTCAGATTTTTGCACTAATGTAGATTTGGTCTTTTTTTGCTTTAAACAGTGTTTGGGAAATTTATTGAGAATATGTACTTCATTCATCTTCAGGGGGTATAAAACAAGACCATAACCAACTGCTATTTTCTATATGAGTAGGAAAATTCACATTCCTTCCTTTTCTTGTTTTTCAGGTTACCTTGGTGTGTTAGCAGTGGTACTAAAAACAAATAATGAATCACCCTGGACAGATGAGTTTGACAGTAAGTGCTTATCATTAATTTTTAGAGTCTGATCAATATGGAAATATTGACTGTCGTCGATACCGATATTGGGATTGTAAGGCTAATGCCGATAACCGATAAAATGGCTGAACATTTTTTAGTTTTGTCCACCCTCGAGAATCTTGAAGTTTTGAAACAGCCTTCCTAACATGCATTCACATTTTCCATCCTCCACTATTTACCATAAAGTTATCAAGTGTGTTACAAAAATATAATTTAAACAAAGAAACGTCCTTCCTGTTCATTGTTTAAACAGTCAGTCACGTATGGTGAAGGCCTAATTAGTGTTGACTGCAGCAGAGTTTATTTTTCGTTGCAGAGAAGATTTCAGACAAACAATCATTTCACTGAGGACAACAAAGATAACGTTACTAATACTGATATATTTTACCGCTACGTTATATTTATTGTTCTGGATAAAGTTTTACAAGGCAGTAGCCTATGTTAGGTTATCTAAATGTTAGCTTGCTAACTTGAGAGACAGGTAGCTAATGACAAGTGGGTTGGAGGATTGAAGAGAATTTTTTGTTGATTTATTTTAATTTTACAGATCAGTTACAATAAACTTGCCATGATCTGTTCAGCAAAATATGCTACACAGTTGCTCACTACTTCATCTGTGCTGAACTTGAAAGTGAAACTTAAATGAACGATCATGACTTGAGAGTAGTCTTCATGCACCCTCTGCTGGATACATTATACAATTATAGCTGGTTGCAGTATGTTAGGGGTGAAAATTAGAAGTGCTTCTTAGAAGTATTTCAGCACATAATCATCACTGAAACCAATATGTCCTCAAACGTATATATCAGCTTAAAATATTGGCTCTACTGATATATTGGTTGGGCTCTAGTTTATTTTACTTTTTTTAAATCCCAAAACATTCATCAGTTCTAAACAAGTTTGCTAATATTTTTGTCTGCTTTTCTTCCTCCAGAGGTTGAATTGTCGTGTTTGATTGAGTCGATTTCCACAATAAATCCCAGGATTGAATGGAAGAAAATCACCAGAGATGGACCCAGTTACGTTTACTTTGAAAAGAAGATCTCAGGTAAGTTGTTGTAGATTATTACAAACCTTATGTTAGTTTTGTTTATCATTGTTTTTTGTTTTTGTTTGTTGTTTTTCATGTTAATTAATTTTATGGGGTTTCATTATTTTGTTTTGTAAAGAAAGCCAATTTACTCACCATGAATGGTTTACAACAGTAGCAAAAGCATAAAACATATGTGATTACTTTTTATAGGCACTGAAATTAACTGACTTCTACAAAGCTAATTTTAATTTTTGAATGTAGTAAAGGCCTACAGGTCCTTCTCAAAAAATTAGCATATTGTGATAAAGGTCATTATTTTCCATAATGTAATGATAAAAATGAAACTTTCATATATTTCAGATTCATTGCACACCAACTGAAATATTTCAGGTCTTTAATTGTTTTAATACTGATGATTATGGCATACAGCTCATGAAAACCCAAAATGCCTGTCCCAAAAAATTAGCATATTTCATCCCACCAATGAAAGACAGGTGTTTTTAATACAAAAAACGCCAACCTTCAAATAATCATGTTCAGTTCTATGTCATATAGGCTTCGCCCTTTAAGGCTGTCGCTGATGGGTTTATCCCGTTATGCGCAAGCATCGTACTGAAAAAATTAGTCCACGCCCACCTGCTGTGTGGGCCCCACCCGATCCGTATAAATTACGTTAAGAGCGGGTAATCTGCTCCCAGTTTTTCTTCAGCAAGCATAATAAAACAAGAATAAACTGACCTTTTTCGTCGAGATGTCCAGCTCCAGCACCATCCGTTTGTGTCCCTCGTGCAAGACCGGCTACTTGCTTAGCTTCGACCGGCACGACACCTGCGAGGGATGCCTGGGTCCCCGCCACGTCGCTCGCGCTTCCTCCTGCCGCCTCTGTGACGAGCTTCCACCGGAGGAAAGACAGAGGAGAGCGGCCTTGTTTAAGGCTACCATCGAGGACTGCCTGTCCGTGGCGGGAGACTGTTCGCTGGACGACGCCGGCTCTCGGAGTGAATCGGATGATTCCTCTGGGACCGGTGACGCTAGCAGCAGCCCCGACGCTCGTTCCCTCCCGGGGAGCGCAGTGTTGGAAAGAGGGAGGCCGAGCGGATGCTCGACTCCCCCGGGGTTTCCCGCCTCAGCGACCACATCGCTCCCTGCCGTGGGCGCGCTCCTCTCGGAGCTGCCCGCCATTATCCGGGAAGCTGCTAGCGTTAAGGGGCTCTCCGTCCCCTCACCCCCCCCGCTCAGATCGGATGATCTTGCGGGAAGGTTTGGCTCCACGCCGGCTCGCCGTCCTGATCCCATTTGGCCTCGTTTTCCTGCGGTGACAGCGTACTGGAACGAGGCCGCAGCCGGTCCTGGTAGGTTAAGGGCGCCCGTCTCCACTTACGCCCCCATCACCAGAGTGGAGGGGTTCACCGAGCGGGGCTTTCCCTCGGTACCCCCCCTTGAGCCAAGCCTCGCGGAAGCCTTCGGAGCGAAGATGTCCAGGCTGGAGAAGCGTCCCGTCCCTCCGGGGAAACACGACCAGGTGGCGACCGCGCTCTCCAACAGAGCCCACCAGTGTGCTTTTCAGGCGGCCGCGGCTAACAACAACGTGGCGCTGTTAGCATTTAGCATGTCGAAGAGGCTGGAGGCCTCAGGCCTGCCGGAGGAGACAAAGAGCTCCCTGTGTAAATCGGCAGATGCCGTCCTCAACATGTGCGCCGCTTCCACGGTTTGCCTGTCGAGGATTGCTTCATGGATGACGGTAATCCAACGCTCCATCTGGCTCCGTCACTCTCCATTGCTGCCGGAAAAGCTGCACAAGGACCTCATGGAGGGCCCCATCTCATCGGACGCGCTGTTCGGAAGCAGCTTGACGACCATGCTGGCGAATTCCAAGCAATCGGAGGAGATGTCGGAAGCGGTACGTCATCTCATCAAGCCGCGCGGCTCATCCCGTCCCCCAGCTCGCTGGAAGGATCGTCGAGAGCAGAGGCAGAAGCACCGACGCTCCACGGCAGCAGCAGCTTCGTCTCGCCCAGCTCCACCACCAGCCCCGCCCGCCAGAGACCACCCCTCCTCAGCCCGGCAGCCTGCACTTCAGCGTTTCCCCAGAGATCGCCTGCAGACGGCGCTCGGGTCAAACAAACCGCAGAGCTCACGAGGGAGAAGGTTTAAGAAATGACGGTCTGCGGGGGATGTGTGTATGAACGAAACAGGAAGTGAAATAAATGATTTTTCAAAAATCAGAATGCCTGTTTTTAGCCAGTCTGTAAGTTCGGATGAGCTCACAGCCGCTACACACACATCCTCCACACAGAGAGAGCCGGTGGCATTAAATAAAGGTTTTTTAAACCCACCGCCGCTCCTTCACATGCCCAGACGCTCACGTGACACCACGGTAAGCGAAATATCTTGTTGTCAAACAGAACCGCACGATCACCACTCAAACGGTGTTAAACGCGCACCCGAGCGAGACAAGCAGCGTCCATCCAAACGGCACTGTGCCGATGATGCACGCACAGCTGCCCGGCGCTCACCGGCTCACATCGGGATAAATGTGGGACCGCAGGCCGGGTCCGGTGGAGGTCCCCGCTCTCAGCAAAAACAACACACGTTTTTCCTGAATAAACGCGAACAGCCGTCATCCATCGCGCCTCTGCGATCAGCAGCTCACGGCGACATAAGCGTGAGACAGCTGAATGAATCCAATGACGGGCCCCGCCCTCAGCGAGAGCGGCGCGCGTCCCTCCAGAGGAAACGTGCGCTCCCGCGAAGTTCACAACCTTCACTTCGACAGCACGGCGTTGATGACGTCACGCCCTCCACCTCTCAACGTTCGCACAGCGACGTTAAACGTGCAGCCTCTGGACGTCACCAGCTGACACACGCCTCGCCTCAGCGCACACCGCCCCGCCCGGACATGAAGGTTGGTCCGCGATCCAGTCACAGCGCACGGGCGCGCGCAGAACAGCCCTTTCGAGAAAGCCTCGCCTTGGGTCACGCGGAAAACATTTCCGCGACGCATGACGGCGGTCGAGGCGGAGGTTTGGATGACATCCGTTCAAAACACGGCACATCATTTAAACGCACGTCCACTCCACGAACGTCACGCAGAGTGGTTAAAAACATGCTCACCGGACAGATGGATGGACAGAGTGTTATGCAAGGGTTACACGCTGCAGTTTGCAACCCAACCCCCTCCGTTCGGAGGAGTTATAGAGACGGTCCTATCATCACCAGACCAAGTCTCAGCCTTAAATGCAGAAGTCCAGGAGCTTCTGATAAAAGGTGTAATCTCAAGAGTTCTCAACGAGGAGGAAAACACAGGGTTTTACTCACGCTACTTCCTGGTCCCCAAAAGGACCGGAGGGATGAGACCGATTCTGGATCTGTCAGCTTTCAACAAAGCGATCATGAACAGACCTTTTCACATGTTGACGAACAGACAGCTGTTGGACAACATCCAGAAAAACGACTGGTTTGTTTCCATCGATCTAAAAGATGCTTATTTTCACATACCAATCATCCCAAAACACAGAAAATTTCTGCGTTTCGCCTTTCAAGGGATGAAGTACCAGTACAACAGGCTGCCTTTCGGGTACTCCCTCGCACCTCGTACGTTCTCAAAGTGTGTGGAGACAGCCCTGCATCCACTGCACAGAGCAGGGATGAGAGTTTTGTTTTACCTGGACGACCTGCTGCTCCTGTCTCACTCCAGACAGGAAGCATTGATACAGGCTCAGGTGTTGGCATCACACCTGCTAAATCTGGGCTTCGCCATAAATTGGAAGAAAAGCTCGATTTTCCCGGCCCAGACAATTGTTTATCTGGGAGTGGAATTAAATTCAATTACCATGACGGCTCGCTTATCACAAACAAGAATCGACACTCTAAAAAACCAATTACGCCACGTAAGACCTGGCAAAGTGGTAACAGCTGTCTCCGTCATGAAGCTGTTGGGAATGATGTCATCAGCTCACACAGTGGTCCCGCTGGGTTTGTTACACATGAGGCGCCTCCAGAGGTGGTTTACGCGCCTGCGTGTGGATCCAGTAAAACAAAAGAGACGGATGATCACTGTCCCTCCCTCCGTGAGAGCAGACCTCCGACACTGGGGAAACACCCTGGCTCTGTCAGAGGGAGTCCCCGTCAGCAAACCCTCGACACACGTATCAGTCTTCACGGACGCGTCTCTGTCAGGTTGGGGGGGGACATGCCTATCTCAAGCAGTAGGGGCGCTGTGGCCCCACCGCACATCAGCCCACATCAATGTTTTGGAGTGTCGCACAGTGCTGAATGTGATTCAGCATTTTGCTCCCGTGCTACAGAATCAACACGTGTTGATTCACACAGACAACATGGTGACTGCTGCGTACATAAACCGCCAGGGGGGTGTGCGTTCAGCCCAGATGTTACACATTGCGCGGAAGCTACTGTGTTGGGCTCACCAAAATCTGCTTTCCATCAGAGCGGTTTACATACCCGGCGTTCTGAACAGAGGAGCAGACGTGATGTCCAGGGGCGGTCCACGTCACGCGGACTGGACCCTCCATCCAGACCTGATGTTTCAGACGTGGCAGAAGTTTGGCAAAGCAGCTGTGGACCTGTTTGCGACGCGAGAGAACGCTCAGTGCCAGTTATGGTTTTCCCTGAGCCCTCGAGACGATCCACCGCTGGGGGTGGATGCATTTGCCCACAGCCCGTGGCCCAAAACGCTTCTGTACGCGTTCCCTCCTCCTCCTCTGATTTTACGGTTCCTGAACCGAGTTCAGGAGGAGGGACTGACAGCTCTCCTGGTAGCTCCCGAGCGCGTGAACGCACCATGGTTCCCGGTCCTGCAGCGTCTGTTGTCAGGTCGCCCGTGGAAACTGCCATGGAGGGAAGATGCTCTCCTTCAAGCAGGAGGAGCGATCAGGAGTTACCCGGAAATAGGCCAGCACCTGTGGGTCTGGCCGCTGAGCGGTCCCGCTTAGAGAGGATGGGTCTCCCTCAGGAGGTAGTGCGCACAATTCAAGATTCACGTGCTGCATCTACCA